AATATATATATATTATACAAATATATATATATATTATACATATTTTATACATATATATAGATATATATATATATATACTCCTACTATATACACTACTACTACTACTCATATACATATGCATACATTGATTTCCTTGTCCATTGCTTTGCCTGCCACATCCAGCATGGTGACCATGGCCTTGACTTCCTTTTGCACCTGAGCCTTCCGCAGTGTGTGCGTTTTGGCACTCAGCGCTCGTCTGTTGTCTTCCATGTCTTTGTTTATGTTCTCCTGTAATGACAGGGAATTCCAGGGTGTAGGGTGTAGGATTTAGGTTCAGGGTTCCAGAGCAAAATCTGAGAGCTAGGTGATACTGCCAAGCATACGCACATACCTATAAAACATCACGCAGTACACACAACCTCCACCCTACACACAGTACACACAGCCTCTACCCTACACACAGTACACACAACCTCTACCCTACACATAGTACACACAACCTCTCCCCTACACACAGTACACACAACCTCTACCCTACACACAGTGCACACAACCTCTACCCTACACACAGTACACACAACCTCTACCCTACACACAGTACACACAACCTCTACCCTACACATAGTACACACAACCTCTACCCTACACACAGTACACACAACCTCTACCCTACACACAGTGCACACAACCTCTACCGTACACACAGTGCACACAACCTCTGCCCTACACACAGTGCACACAACCTCTACCAACACACAGTACACACAACCTCTACCCTACACACAGTACACACAACCTCTACCCTACACACAGTACACACAACCTCTACCCTACACACAGTGCACATAACCTCTACCCTACACACAGTACACACAACCTCTACCCTACACACAGTGCACACAACCTCTACCCTACACATACACGTACACGCAATCGCACAGATACCAATTCCCCATCCCCCATCGTTCGCCTACCTTCTCATCTAATATCCTCGCCAGTTGGCTGTGTTTCCAGTTGAGCTTCTCTGTCTGGCTCTGTATCCGTTCCGAGATGCCCTCGACCGAGAGTCCTCCTTTATTGTCCACTGTGTAATTGGGTCGTCCTTCTAAATTGTCTTGTATTTGATCCAAATTGAAATCCTCTTCGGCCACCCCCCGCCCCGGTAGCCGGCTCAGAGCTCCATACCCGAGATTGAGTCGAGTCCTGTTTGCATTGGGTTGCGATACATCGGATGGTCCTGAATTACGGGGGCAAGGTATTTGTAAATAACTAGGAAACTAATGGGAAAATAAATGCGAATTTAATGGGAAATAAATGCGAAACTATGTAACGAGAAATCAATGAGAATTAAATGCGAATTGACGATAGATTATGGACGTGAACTCAGCCCGAAGAAACGCTGAACACAGCAGTAGACATCACACCACACCGACCGTTTGCAAACGCCAATCCGTTTATTCACAACAGCGCGACGGTGAGACTCGATCAAAAGACAAATTCACAGAGGCCTTTTGTAGGCCAATGAAGTCAAATGTGTGTACCATGCAAGATAGTGCGAAGGAACATGTAGGCATGTCTATTTTTAGATTCTTACTCTGGCACTGGACACAATGAGACAAAGTGGTGGGAAGTTCCATTGCGGAACTTGAACAGTGAGTGCAACCTTATATGCGAGAATGTGAGGATAAAGGGCTAAAATCCTACACCCTAAACCCTAAAACCTTGACCCAAATGTTTACATAGAACAAGACACCAGAGCAAAGGTAGGGTATGAACGTACATACACACAGCACACAACTACTCGTAGCCCAGCACCCCACAGAACACTGTGGCATACAGAGTAATAACGGAACGCAAAGTGTGAAGCTAAAAGCGAGACGGCAAAGAGGTATGCATCTAAAGACGTACGAAATCAGAAGTAAACCTAAACAGACACCGGAACGCAAAGTGTGGAACTACAAGCAGAACGGTAAAAGCGGGATGGTAAAATCAGGACGAGAAAGAGGTATGCATTTAAAGACGTACGAAATGGGAAGAAAGCATAAACAGACACCGGAACGCAAAGTGCGGAACTACAAGCAGAACGGTAACAGCGGGATGGTAAAATCGGGACGATAAAGAGGTATGCAATTAAAGACGTACGAAATGGGACGAAAGCATAAACAGACACCGGAACGCAAAGTGCGGAACTACAAGCAGAACGGTAAAAGCGGGATGGTAAAATCGGGACGATAAAGAGGTATGCATCTAAAGACGTACGAAATCAGAAGTAAACCTAAACAGACACCGGAACGCAAAGTGCGGAACTACAAGCAGAACGGTAAAAGCGGGACGACATAGTGTCAAGACCATACCAGGGATTGGGTAGAATTCAGTAGGCGCCAACCCCATCAGCACAGACGGGCAATCGCTTACTTTAGTGCGCGTGCACAGAAGTTTGGCGATGCGTATGATCTCTCGTACGTTTATCTGCCTCTCGCGCGAACAGTGCGACTCTATCTGCGTGCGAAGAAGGAGGAGCTAAAGTTCAGGGTTTAGAGTGTAGGGTTTAGGGTTTAGGGTTCATGATTTAGGGTTTACCCGTCCATCTACATGAGAATAAGCGTTGGTCTAATGCCTCACCCATCGGCACTCAGGCACTTTCTTCTTCTAAAAAATAAAAATAAAATGGGAAGGATGGACGGGTCTGATTGGTCCTCGAGTATATAGCTGTCCAGTATTTAGGAGTTTTAGAGTTTAGGGTTTAGCGTCCAGATTTATTTCTCATCGTAAGTTTGAACACTGCTTATGTCGCTCTTGACACCGCAACGACTAAAACCCCAGGACCAGAACACACACCACCACATCCAAAAACCCAACAATTCAAAACCCAATAACCCTAAAACCCAAGCTACACACGCACCTCGGCAGCCGTGCGCATGCTTAGCAACTGGCGTCTCTCAGACTTAACCAATGCCACGACCACGTAGTAGATCAGCCGAGGCGTTCTCTCTAACAGCACACAGTCCCACAGCGCAGCCCATTGGGCAGCCGATAGAATGGCAGCGAAGACACCCTGGGGAGCCATGGGGAGAGACAGAGCGAGAGGGGTAGGTGGATGGATGTGTGTGTATGTGTGTGGATGGATGGGGGGGGGGTGTGTAGGTTATTTATATAAATGTGTATGTTATATAGGTGATGTGTATGTAGGTATGTATATACATATATACGTGTTTGTATGTATATAGTTGTATGTGTGTATGTATGTATATAGATATTTATGTGTATGTATGTATAAAGATATGTATGTATATCTATGTACGTACATAGATAAGTAGGTGTCTGTCTGTATATAGACGTAAATGTGATATGTAAGTATGCATATAAAATTAGATGTGTATGTATATCTATCCAGGCTTGGCCAAAACCATAACAATAAAACTTAATCGCAGGGGTTTCTTTTTAGAGTTTAGGGTTTTTCCCTTAGCAGATGATCCCGCAGAAAATAATGTCTTAAAAATACACAGTACTGGCGTATATACAGTTGTAGACAATTGTTCTATACAAACACAGATATATATATATATATATATATATATATATATATATTTATACATTTATATGTATACGCGTTCTCCTATAATATACGCAGTAAATCCCATACCTGCAGCATAGGCCATGCCCATTGTACCGCTGAGCAGTGCAGACGTTTAAACTGTACGTGCAATTCAGCATCGTGTTCACTCAGTATTACCTCCACGGCACGCAGAACAGTCCCGTGTGGTGGGTCTGGCGCATAGTCAAGCCATCCATTGCACCTGTACAGACAGATACAAGTATAAAGATGGGTATAAATACACACTCTCTCTCTCACACACACACACACACATATATATATATATATATATATA